CCCCCTTGCGTTCAAAAGCCCCCCTAAGCCCCACCTACCCCCTTGCCCCTAGCCCTTGCTCAGCCCAACCCGATTGATTTATGCCCCTAAGCCTCGTACCCCTTTGCCTCCACCCTGATTTATGCTGTTCAAAAGCCCCGTACCCTCTTGGGTTCAAAAGCCCCTACCCCTTTGCCCCGGTTGTCCCCCGATTGATTTATGCTGTTCAAAAGCCCCACTTAAGCCCCCTTACGCCCGCCCCCTACCTCCCTTGCCCCCGATTGATTTATATTGTTCAAAAGCCCCCTACCCCTTGGCCCCCGATCTACCCTGCCCTCTACACCACTTGATCCTTGATTTATGTAATTTATGCCCCTACCCTGTAGCCCTTGCCCCCTAAGGCCCCTTCCCCCACCCCGCCCCTACTCCACTTGCCCCCGATTTATGTTATTTTTTGACCTATGCCCTACGCCCTACCCCCTTGCCCCCGCCCCCTACCCCTTGCCCCCGATTATGCTGTTCAAAACCCCACCCGATTGCCCCCGATTTATGCTGTTCAAAAGCCCCCCTACCCGTACCCTATTTATGCTGTTCAAAAGCCCCCCTACAGCTGCCCCCTACCCGCCCCCTACCCGACCCCTATGTTCAAAAGCCCAAGTTCTCGTTAAGGTGAAGGAAGTATGACTGGTTTACCAATAGTTGAGACTCAATCTGGGGACGTTTCGGCTGATATTCTCACTAATGTAATTTCCATTATAGATGGACAAATCTTCTTATCTGCCGATCTATTCAATGCTGGAATCCGGCTTGCTATTAATGTGGGTATTTCCGTTTCCAGAGTAGGATCCGCAGCTCAAATTAAAGCTATGAAACAAGTAGCTGGCAAATCAAAATTGGAAATAGAGTTAGAAGCCTTTGCACAATTCGCTTCTGATCTCGATAAAGCTACTCATAATCAATTGGCAAGAGGTCAACGATTGCGCGAGTTGCTCAAACAATCCCAAGCAGCCCCTTTTGCGGTGGAAGAACATGTAGTTACTATTTATACAGGAGTGAATGGGTATCTTGATTCATTAGAAATTGGACAGTTGAAGAAATTTCTCGTTCAGTACGTTTGCCCCCTACTCGACCCCTACCTTCAAAAGCCCCCCTACGTTCAAAAGCCCCCCTACGTCTGCCCCCTACCCGACCCTTAAGTTCAAAAGCCCCCTACGTCTGTCCCCCTGTCCCCCTACGATTTATGCTGGTCAAAACCCACCCTACGTCTGCCCCTACCCGAGCCCCCTACGTCTGCCCCCTACTTGAACCCTGCCCGATTTATTCTGTTCACAAGCCCCCTCTACGTCTGCCCCCTATCCGATTTATGCTGTTCAAAAGCCCCCTATGTCTGGAATCTTGATTTATGCTGTTCAAAAGCTCCCCTACTCGATTTATGCCTTTCAAAAGCCCCCTACGTCTGGAATCACGATTTATGCTGTTCAAAAGCCCCCGATTTATGTTGTTCCCCCTACCTGATTTATGCTGTTCAAAACCCCCTACATCTCGAATAGCGTGTTCAAAAGCCCCAGATTTATGTTGTTCCCTCCTACCTAATTTATGCTGTTCAAAAACCGAATCGTGATTTATGTTGTTCAAAAGCCCCCGATTTATGCTGTTCAAAAGCCCACTACATATGGAATCGCCTATTCAAAAGCCTGTCTCCCTATGTATGGAGAATCGCGTCTCTTAGAGACCCCCAAACGTCTGGAGACTCCCGCTGTTCAAAAGCCCCCCTACGTCTGGAATCGCGATATATGCTGTTCAAAAGCCCCCCTATGTCTCCCTATGTCTCCCTACGTCTGGAGAATCGCGATTTATGCTGTTCAATTCTTACGTCTGAAATCACGATTTATGCTGTTCAAAGCCCCCTACGTCTAGAATCTACGTCTCCCTATGTCAGCCCCTACGTGTTCAAAAGCCCCTATGTATGGAATCACGATTTATGTGTTCAAAAGCCCCTACGTCTCCCTATGTCTGGAATCGCAATTTATGCTGTTCAAAAGCCCCTACATCTCTTTGTGTCTGTAATCGCGATTTATGGTGTTCACAAAAGCCCTACGTCTCCTTATGTCTGGAATCGGGATTTATGCTGTTCAAAAGCCCCTACGTCTCCCTGTGTCTGGAATCTCACACAAGGGATCTCAATTTATGGTGTTCACAAAAGCCCCTGCATCTCCCTATGTATGGAATCGTGACTTAGGCTGTTCAACCTATGTCTAGAATCGCGATTTATGTTTTCACAAAAGCCCCTATGTCTCCCTATGTCTGGAATCGTGATTTATGCTGTTCACAAAAGCCCCTACGTCTCCCTATATCTGGAATCGCTATTTATGCTGTTCAAAAGCCCTACTCCTCATGCCTGGAATCACGATTTATGTTGTTCAAAAGCCCCTACGTTTGGAATCGCGATTTATGCTGTTCAATAGCTTGTCTGGAATTCCCTATGGAATCACAATTTATGCTGTTCAATACTCTACGCCCTACGTTTGGAATTCCCTACGTCTGGAATCGCGATTTATGCTGTTCAAAAGCTCTACGTCTCCCTACATATGTATCGAATTCCCTATGGAATCATGATTTATGCTGTTCAAAACTCTACGCCCCTACGTCTCCCTATGCCTGGAATCACGATTTATGTTGTTCAAAAGCCCCTAAGTTTGGAATTCCCTACGTTTGGAATCGCAATTTATGCTGTTCAAAAGCTCGTCTGGAATTTCCTATGGAATCACAATTTATGCTGTTCAAAAGCTCTACATCTCCCTACATATGTTTGGAATTCCCTATGGAATCACGATTTATACTGTTCAAAACTCTACGCCCCTACGTCTCCCTATATATGGAATTGCGATTTATGCTGTTCAAAAGCCCCTACATTTGGAATTTCCTACGTTTGGAATCGCTATTTATGTTGTTCAAAAGCTCTACATCTCCCTACGTACATCTGGAATTCCTGGAATTCCCTACGTTTGGAATCGCGATTTATGCTGTTCAAAAGCTCTACGTTTCCCTACATCTGGAATCGCGATTTATGCTGTTTAAAAGCCCCTACGTCTTGAATCGCGATTTATGCTGTTCAAAAGCCCCTACATCTGGAATCGTCACGATTTATACTGTTCAAAAACTCTACGTCTCCCTACGTACGTCTGGAATTCCCTACATTTGGAATCGCGATTTATGCTGTTTAAAAGCTCTACGTCTCCCTACATACGTCTGGAATTCCCTACATTTGGAATCGCGATTTATGTTGTTCAAAAGCTCTACGTCTCCCTAAGTCTGGAGTCACTATTTATGCTGTTCAAAAGGTCTACGTCTCCCTAAGTCTGGAATCGCGATTTATGTTGTTCAAAAGCCCCTACGTCTGGAATTCCGTACATCTGGAATCGTGATTTATGTTGTTCAAAGCTCTACGTCTCCCTAAGTCTGGAATCGCGATTTATGCTGTTCAAAAGCCCCTACGTCTGGAATTCCGTATATCTGGAATAGTGATTTATGCTGTTCAAAAGCTCTACGTCTCCCTACGTCTGGAATCGCGATTTATGCTGTTCAAAAGCCCCTACGTTTGGAATCGTGATATATGATGTTCAAAAGCTCTAATCTCTACGTCTACGTCTGGAATCACGACTTATGTTGTTCAAAAGCCCCTACGTTTGGAATCGCGATTTATGTTGTTCAAAAGCTCTATGTCTGGAATCGCGATGTATGCTGGTCAAAAGCTCTACATCTGGAATCACGATTTATGCTGTTCAAAAGCCCCTATGTCTGGTACGTCTGGAATCGTGATTTATACTATTCAAAAGCCCTTATTACACGATTTTGGAATTGCGATTTATACTATTCAAAAGCCCCTATTACACGATTCTGGAATCGCGATTTATACGATTCAAAAGCCCCTATTACACGATTCTCCTCTAGGATCGGGTGACTCCCGGTTTTGTTCAAAAGCCCCTATTACACTGTTCAAAATCATCGATTCTCCTCTAGAATCAGGCGATGCCCGGTTTTGCAGAAGAATTGGGTGATTCCCGATTTTGCAGAAGAATTGACTATTCGGTGATTCCAGATTTTGCATGTTCAAAAACATTTATGACGTTTTTGCAGAAGAATTGACGGTTCAAAAGCATTTATGACGTAATAGGGAAGCATTTATGACGTAATAAGATTTGACTGTTCAAAAGCATTTATGACGTAATAGGGAAGCATTTATGATGTAATAGGGGCGATTCACTGTTCAAATTGACTATTCAAAAGCATTTATGATGTAATAGGGGCGATTCACTGTTCAAAAGCCCCTATTACTTAGTGACGTCTGGAATCGCGATTTATGATGTAATAGGGTCAATTCACAGTTCAAAAGCTCCTATTACACTGTTCAAAATCGTCGATTCTTCTCTAGGATCTGGCGATTCCCGGTTTTGCAGAAGAATTGACACGGGATGCCGGATTCCTGTGTCGACTCATCGCCCTTATTACACTGTTCAAAATCGCCGATTCTCCTCTAGGATCGGGCGATTCCTGGTTTTGTAGAAGAATTGACATGGGATGCTCGATTCCCGTGTCGACTCAGGCAAGTCCGTCGCGACTCGCCGATTTTTAAAAACCTGAGTAGACCTATAAATATATGAAAATATAGAAAATGGACGATCTAGATAATGTGTGCAAGATGAACCATTTATGGGACTTAAAATCTTTCTATTTATTTATTTATTTATTTTTTCATATTTATATATATCGATGTTAAGATAATCAATTGTAAAGATTTTCAACATTAAAACAACATTTTTTGATGGATTTTTGAGGTGCATCTTTCATTCTACATTTTAAAGTTGGAACCCTATATAAATTTTTTTTTCAAAAATAAATTGTGACGGAGTTATTGAGAGTGAGCATGCCTAAAAAGTATGGTCCAGAGGTATCATAATTTTCGCCCAAGAAAAAGATGAGATCAGATCGATTTTAATCAAACGGCTGCGATCGCCTACCAGCACCCCAATACTATGTATTCAAAATACACACAATGTGTGGCTGCAACGGAAATTTCCTGTTGTCATCCATGGCTGTCTGTTTGTTATCCCTCCCTTTTCGTCATGTCACCTTCTCTCCTCTCCACTCCAATAGTTACGGTAATTATAGGTATAGGAAAACCCGTCAAATTTGCAAAGCTTTCAGCAAAAATCATTTGTCTCTTGATTTATTAGAGCAAAGCAAGGTTAGTAAAGTTCAAATGCTTTCTCTGAGTGTAATGCAATTAGGGCTTAATGCGTTTGTTTTTCTGTTGTGGAACTTAGGTTTTAGGGAGACGCATTAGGTCTCTTCTGCGTGAATTGTCTGTAACTCTCTGTAGGCGATGCACATTAGGGTTCAACGTATTGGTTATGTGATGGACACTTTGGAATTTGGGTTTAGGAAAAAATCAATAGGGTTTAGGAAAAAATTAAGTTTTTATCTGCGTTGATTGGACTTGTGTTAATCCTTGTGCTTAATTTCTTTTGCACTGGAATAGTGGATTTTTTTGGGCTGAAATTTAAGCAGAATTTTGGGATTTCAATGTTGTCATAAATCTATTCTTAGAGGTCTAGTTCTCAGGGCTTATATGAATCCATCTCAGGGCTTATATGGCTGGATTTGCATTTCATCGAAATGTGGTTTCATCTCATTTGAATAATTTTAATTTTAGTAATTTTTTATGCAAATTTAGATAATTAAAAATTGATTTTACATGATTGACTTGAGAACTTAGTCAAGGATTGAAATAGACACTAACTTCTTTCCCTCTATGCAAGTATTACAATATGCTAATGGGGCTTGTAGAAAAATGCAATATCATTTCTATGGTTATTCTTAATTCTTATTGATAATAATACCACCTATCAACCAATAAAATGTACCAATCACATTGTATCGTATCTAGAATTTCAATAGTTAGGCTAAAGAGATCTGAGGGGCTGAATTGCCGATCAAGGGATGTTCAGATTGGTGTTGCGAGAAAGGAATTTGCGACAAAAAGTTCCAGTGGCTGAGCAATGCACACAACTTTTCTCTGAATTTGTTTTTATGCTTTAGATTTTGACTTAGTGCAGTTTTATGATCTAAAGTCTCCAATGGTTTGGTTGGGGACAGCGCCATTATTAATCTAGATGTGCGTCAAGCTTTTAGAGGAAGTTGATGATTGGCACCTTGACATGGTGGCATGAACCATAAGAAAAAAAGAGAAATAAACATGACAAGGAGGAGTACATCATATCAGAAATAGTTTTATTGGCATATTCTCTAGCTTGGGAATGTTCTATTGCAGCTTGTTTTGGACGTAAAGGAAAAGCTTCAAAGACAGTGGCCTGAGCTTCCTGTCGGGAAGAAAGGAAGAGATGATGAAGAGATGATCCTTTGGTTTCTCAAGGACCGTAGATTCAATGCAGATGATGCTATTACTAAACTAACAAAGGCTATTGTATCCTTCACATTTTCCTTTTTTATAATGTAACTCATTTATAAAGCACATTGAGCATTGAATTTCTTGTCCCAGCAGCAACATATAAATAGTAGCTTGTACAGAGTCCAGTTTTGATCATTTAATTTATTATTAATTTGAATATTGTATATTGTTACTTACAAACGGCGGTATTTTGAAATTGACCTTGAATTCAAGTACTGAACAGGGTTATATTTGCAAAAGGATAGGGGAGTATGGGTATTTGTGAAGGTTTGAGCATAATGTTCAATCTTTTAATTATCAACACCATGCTAATCTTTTTAATGAGTGAATTTGCTAAAATTTTTGAGGTTGATTTGGAACATTGGGTTCCATTCCACTTATTAGAGGAAAAAATGTTGTTATTCTGTGATTGATTTATTACAGATAGTGAGGGAAAATCTTTTAATGCTTCAAAAGCTTTTAGTTATTCTCTCGAGGATGTATGATCGTGAAATCGGTATTCTTAGGTTCTTTGAAGAATCAAACATAGAATTTATATGTTATAATTCTCTTTATTTTAAATGTTTATATACATTTTTAGGGAGGATTCTTCTTCATATTGTATTTAAGGGAAATAACTCAGCTTGATTTTTTCTCTTTGTGAAAGTGAAGAAACATTAATCAAGTGTTTTGTCTTTTTCTTTTTTCACACAATTCTGAGAAAGATAGAATGAGATTTACAAAATAGGACAGAATATTCTTTGCTTGCCTGGATATGTTCAATTTTATTCCTTTCCCCTGGCGAATATTAATAGCACCTTTTTGTTTTCCCATTCATATTTTCCTCTTCAAGCTTACTTTAGATGTGGCGTCAAGAATTCAGGGTTTCCAATATATCAGAAGAAACTGTGAAAGATATAACAAGTACTGGAAAAGCATACTTGCATGATTATCCTGACCTAAATGGCAGGCCCGTATTGGTAGTGGTGGCAGCAAAACACATTCCAGCAGTAAGCTTAAATACTGATGTTATTGCACCATATGCTTCTTCATGTTAACGATCCAAATACACCTCTTTTTTTTAAGCATGAGAGTTATTCAATTGACTGGTTAGTTTCGAAAGCGTTCAAGACAATCCTACTTTTGTCATCTTGGGAAAGCGACAAACTATCTAATCCATGCAGAAGTGAAGCAATTGCTCTAAATGTCTTCTGTTCTGAATGTTCCTTGATAAGTTCTATGTCTGAACTAGTTTTTAGAAGGCAAGATGTAATTTACCTGTGCATTTTTACAGCAACCTGAGAAGTATATCATATTTAAATTTAGGTAATGGTTTCTTACACAATGGTTTTTTGGCATCAGAATATTAGTCACACCTTTTGGTGGATTATTTTTTGGACGCATTTTCAATAAAATTTTGATAGGTTTAAAGAGATTCAAATTATTTATCACTTTTGATGACCTTTTTCTTCGCTCTTTTGTCTATTTGAAACATAATGCTTACTTAAATTTTTTTTTTGGTGTCTTAACTGAATTGACTGGTTGTTCCCTGGCAGCTATGGTAGTGCCATGGGATAATGCTGATAGTGATTTGGGTGCAGAAGCATGACCTAACTGAGAGCGAGAAACTCTGCATCTACTTGATTGAGAAGGCCATGGAAAGACTTTCTACTGAAGAAGGGAACATACTTGGGATATTTGACCTTCGTGGTTTTGGTACTGAAAATGCAGATCTTGCATTTATGAAGTTTCTGGTAATTTTGTTTTATAAATTTCATTTTCCCCAGTAAAGTTTTTATGGCTGTGTCCATTGAGATATGCAGTTAATTGAGGTAGAACTTGTAGAAAATGATTGGAAGGCTTAGATTTTTTCAATAAATGGCATTCACCTTAATGAGATTGAAAAAACTTCATTAGTGCTCCTAATCATTTTTATATTTTCTGCAAATATCTAGAGAATAAAATAATGTGGATCTCGTTTTCCGTTGCGTCTGCATGGATTTCCATCAAAGTTTTATGTATGGACTGTTTCAAGTTCAGAATATTGAATGTTTTACATGTTGTTTGTTTGACTAAGTGACTAGCATTATAATAAGGTCCACAATATTCATCTTGGAGAAGATGAACTTTGTGGGCCTTAATCTAATTTATAATGCTTATTTGTGTTCCTATGATTTATATATTTCTTTACAATGCAATTATTTCTGGCATAACTAGTTCCTGCCTTTGAACCTAGATTTGAGGAGGAAATCCCGTTTGTGTTTTCATGCTAGATAAGACAACCCTCGGTCGAGACTTCTACTCTACTGCCTTCAAAGACTTTCCGGAGGTCATTAAGAACAATTCATTGGAACTTTTTCATGAATTTTAATGATTGGCGTAGGGTTAACTTGGTCTCTCATTTCCAGAATTGAAGAGCAAAAGACAAAGGATTTTAGAGTTAATAACCTATTGGGAGCTTGTACAAGATTCTACATAAAGCAATCTCCTGATTACTTGTGTCCATTTATCTTGTACACAAGCTAATGCTTAAACATTCAATCCCTCTTTTGCTCCTTATTATTGCAATAATTCGTAACTTTGTAGGGAAGATTGAAGACATCAATCTATGCTTTATTATTAGGATCTATATTGTAGCTTGTGTACAAGATAAATGCTACAACATAAATAGAATATAGTCTTGAAGCTTCTCTAGTAAATTGGTAGAGATAGCTCCAAATTTATTCCACCACAGCAAGAACCATTTTGGGATTTCTTTATGACTGAATGATTCTCAGAGCAGTATCATCCATATATGAATAAAAAATCTATTTTGAATGAGTAGAGCATGATTCCAGGCTTCCATATAATCAAATAATTATAGGTCATATAAGACCTATAATTTCTTGGAAGTTCTTTAGACCTTTTGCAATAAAAAAGTTTTTCATATAACCATTTGAGAAAATTCATATTCATTTGACTGTCCTCTAAATTGATTCTTTATATAACCGCTTTAGTGTCAAGTAAATGTTTTTTCATAGAAATAATAACCTCTTCAGTTGTTGTAATAGGAAATTAGAAAGAAATACCCAACTAGTTTTTTTCTATAACTTTAGCAGTTAGAGATAAATCCTTATTTTCTATAGGTATTGCAAACATTGTAAAAACCCTTCTATATAGTTTTGACTTTGGACTATTAGAGGAATTTGCAATCACATTTTTGGCCTTTAGACTTAGCCATCCTGCAAAAATTTACAAGTTACAAATTCAGGAACATAATTATTTTTTCCTTCAATATATTCTATATCAAATTAAAAATGGATAAAATAGCTTCCCATCTAAGTTTTTCACATATTTTTCTAACACTTCTTTTGCATATTTGTAGTAATTACTTCGTTTTTATTTTATTATTTATTTTTTTATATTTAGTATGTAGTTTGGAAGTTCAATATAACCTTAACAATGGCTAAAATTTCTTTTTTCATTGTAGAGTACTTTTGTTTTGCATTATTCCAAAATCCTGATGTGAATCTAACTAATTATGATATTATTATATAATTATAATATCTGTTATTATTATTATTCTTATTGTTGTTGTTGTTGTTGTTGTTGTTGTTATCATTATTTGAAATATTTATTATGAAATGGCATCAACATCATTAGTATTAATTCTTTTTTTTGAAGAACGTGAACATTGTATTACTGAGACAGTAATGGTTACAATGGGAGAAGACCGAGAGCCCCCCACTAAGGGTGGTTCTTGGTAAAAAATACATTAGTGAGCCATATACAAAAAAGGCTTATAATACTCGCCCATTTACAAAGATTTACAGGGATTGTCCACAAAATTAAACAAAAACCACTGAAGCTACGAAGTGTGCTTGTGGTCTGTGACAAAAAAGGAGTGGGACCTGGCGTTTTCTTCCTCTTGGATTCTAGCTCCCCCTTTCGCCATGAGATCAGCGAGCTCGTTGGATGTCCTTCAGGTATGCTTCTAGGAGACATCCATATCCCAACAAATGTGAGTAATTTCATAAAACATGGTGGTTAGTTGCCATGGGGGAGGGGTCTTCCCACTTGCCCAAGAGAGTATTTTGGGAGTCTCCTTACGCTATAAGGTGTGGTCCCCAAGAGGGGTTGAACTTTTTCAACCCTAGTAGCAAAGCCATAGCCTTTGCATATTGGGAGTCACCAGTACCGAGGTGCTCGGAATACGTTAAGAGAATTTCCAGGTAGTGATCTCTGAAAACTCCCCCAGCACCAGCCTGGCCAGGATTCCCAATCGAACAACCATTAAAGTTTAACTTGATGCAACCTGCAGGTGGAGGTTGCCAGTTGTTATGTCTAAGTGCCTTTCTTGGTTGGTGGTAAAGAATATTTTTCCATTGACTAGGGAAAAGGTTTCTTGGAAGACCCAAGAACGTCTGATGATTAGAAGCCCAGAAAGAGGCCAGAGAGGTAATCTTGTTAAAGAGAGCTGGGGTTTGGAGATAGATTCCTTGAAAGATTATGTTATTTCTTTCTACCCATATGGTAGCAGCTATAGTAGCTTTCCACAGTGTTTTTCCAGGTTTTGGCCATTGTGAATCCCAATCATAAGAAATAAGGGCTCTGACCGAGGGTGAAGTGATCCATTGGATACCAAACGACTGTACTACCAGACTTTACAGGTCATGTGCAACATTGCAAAGAAGGAAGATGTGAGGGTTAGATTCCTCCTCAGATAAACACAATGCACATCTATTGGGGATGGGGATCCCCCTCTTTTGGAGTTGGTCCACCGTGAGTGCTCTGTTGGATGCAACAATCCAGTTGAAGGTTTGCACCTTGGGTGGGGCGATGGTCGCCCAGACTTTTGCCAAGGCTGATGGAGGATTGGCAGGAAAGGTAGGGGGCCGAGAAAGGCTCTTATAGAAAGGGGCAACCGTGAATTGGCCAGATGGGGTTAGCGTCCACACTAGAGTATCATTCCCAATAAAAGGAATGAAAGTCATGTGTAGAGCTGCCAATAGAGTCTGAAAATGAATTGCGTCCTCTTCAATGAGATTCCTACGGAAGGAAGGGTTCCAGTTTCTTCAGCCTCCAAATAGCACCATTTCCTCAGCTACTGTGGAGTTTGTTAGTGCCAAGCGAGAAGAGGGTTGGGAAGGCTTGGCTCAGTGGGGCATGTCCCAGCCACATGTCAGACCAGAATAAGACCCTATCGTCCACTCTAGGATGAAGACGTACACACCTTTTGAACTGTGCGAGAGAGGTAAGAAAAGATTTCCAGGCTCCTGAAGCTTTCTGCCGCCATCTTCTATCCGGCATCCAAGCTCCTTTCGGGATTCTATATTTACTTCATAGGATACTAGCCCAAATAGAGTCAGGCTGAGTAGCTAGACACCACTACCATTTCCCGAGTAGTGCCGTATTGTGTTTTCTAAGGGTCCGAATCCCTAGACCTCCTAGTTTTTTAGGTAGGCAGATGTTCTTCTACGTTACTAGCTGAAATTTTGTCTTCTCCGTCTGCTCTGACCACAAAAAATTCTGCATGAGCTGTTTCAGGCGATTGGCCACCTGAGTAGGCATGTGAAAAAGGGACATGAGGTACACCGGGGAGTTAGCTAAGGTGGCTTTGATCAAGGTGTTTCGACCTGCCATAGAGAGATATCTACCTTTCCATCCCGCCAACCTTCTATCTACCTTATCCAAGATATAAGACCAAAGTCTCTTTTTCGGTTTTCTCAGGCCCAAGGGAAGGCCAAGGTAAGTAGTGGGAAGGTCCTCCACTTTACACTCCCATTCTGGGATGATGTCTCTAACTTCGGAATTTGATAGGCCTACTCCCATCATTTTAGATTTTTCTATGTTTACTTTGAAACCCGTAGCAATCTGAAAACAATTAAGGAAAAGCTTTAGGGAGTCAGCTTCATGGCATGAGGCATCAAGGAAAACAAGAGTGTCATCCGCATATTGCAGATGAGAAACAGTAGGGCCTTGTGGGCAGCTTTTGAAGCTCGAGAAGATGCCCGCCTGGTAAACGTGAGAAATCGAGCGGTTAAAGACTTCAGCTGCTATAGTGAAGAGGAATGGAGAGAGAGGGCCCCCTTGACGAATCCCCCTCGAGGATGGGAAGTATCTTTTTGGGGTTCCATTGATGAGGACAGAGAAAAAAGGGTGGGAGTAGCAACCTCTCATCCACTTCCTCCACCGGTCCCGGAACCCCATTCTAGCCATGAATTCCTCCAGAACGGACTAGTCCACGTGGTCTTATGCTTTCTCCTAATCAATTTGAAGATTAGGGAATAGTTGCAGGGAATTGATCTGCTCCAGGTTTTGAGAGAGGCTTTTAGAAGTTGGATTTCGTTTGGAGTCTATAGCCTGCCCTACCCTTAACCTGGGAGGAGAAGGAGTTCCACCAGGTTGGGATAAGGGTAGAGAGGGACGACTCTTTGAGCCAAGCCAATTCAAATCTAAAAGGTTTTGGGCCTCTTCTAACAACCATAGTATCAAGAAGAATGGGGCAGTGGTCAGAAGTGGGTTTGGGTCGGGCTACCGCAGAGGAGGCTGGGAAAGATTCCTCCCAATTTAGGGAAAGGAGAAATCTATCATGCTTAGAGAGAGGGTTCAGAAGCATGAATAGACCAAGTATAATGATAACCTTGAAGGGGGATATCAAGGAGTTCTTGCCGATTTATAAAATCAGAGAAGTCCCTCATGTCTTGAGAGATGGAGGTGGAGGAGTTCCTCTCATAGGACCATCTAGTGACATTGAAGTCTCTAGCCATATAGG